TTTTGAGGAGTATCTTCTTTTTGAGGAGTATCTTCTTTTTGAGGAGTTTCTTCTTTTATACGAGTGTCTTCTTTCTTAGGAGTGTATACTTTTTTAGTAGTAGCTTCTTTTTTAACAATGTCTTCTATTGCGGTGGTGTTTTCTTTTTTAACATTATCTTTTTCTTTATTTTCCTTAGTTGGTTTGTCAATAATTTTATTTTCTTTAGTTGGTTTGTTAATAACTTTATTTTCTTCAATTGATTTACCTGATTCTATTACTTCAGTTGTTTCAGTTACTACAGTTGTATCAACTGATTTTGTTGCATCAGTTTCTTCAATTTTAGGAGTAATTATTTTAGGAGGCCGGCCTAATTAGAAAAAAAAAAATCTGATAAATGCTCAGGACAAAGTAATTATTTAGTTAAAAATAAATTGCCTCGCTTTTTTGGTTTTGTTTCTGTTGGCGATGGAACATTGACTATTTGATTTAATTCAGATGAAATTTCTGAATATTTCCGTTTTTTCCCTTTTATTGGAGGTGTTACAACATTTCGTACTGTTTCTTCTTTAACTATAGTGATAGAACGTTTTGCTCCACTTTTTTTTGAACTTGAACTATACATGAAATATGTAAAAATTGGAATTTTTAATAACTAATAGTAATTAATAATTAATTTCTTACTGTATTTCTTTTAATGAAGCCATTTTGTTCATATTGACAGTATTGACAGTCAATACTCGATTGTCGTCTACCCATTCTTCCCATTTACTGTTCCAGCCCTTGTAATGAACAAAATATTGTGCTTTACCATCATTAGCCTTCCTCCTTTTTAAACATTTTGCTTCATATAACATTGGTCCATGATAACATAGTAAGCTATCACCTATTAAAAAAATAATTATTAATTTATTTAAATCAATAAAAACCAGTTTGTATTTAAAATAGTTTGAACTAAACAAAAGGTATATATCATAATTCAACTACTTTAGTCTTTAAGATTTTAAAAACATATTCAATTATTTTAAACATTTAACAATTCAAATAAACATTACTAAAGAATTAACAAGAAAAAAATTATAAATATACATAAATAATAGTAATAATAATAATTAAGTATGTCTTTTGTTTCAAATTTCATAGTACTATTATTAACATTGTAAACTTGCACAAACAATATAAAAAAAATATTATAAATTATACTCTGTATTGTACTGTTATCAAATTAATAATTATACTGTTTATCATTTATAGCTTATGTTAATACACATAATTGTATGTAATATAATATATATTAAGTTTATAAAAATAAATTAAATATTGAAATTATTTTTTAATCAATACTTCATTCAAGTATAAATAAATTGCACTCAAAATATTGGTAACAGTGTGTATTGCCTATATCAGTATTTCCCAATTTTTTGTAACAATACAGTACTATAAATTATAATACATATTTAATATATATAGTTGCACATCATACAAAATTATGATCAATAAAAATACATTGTGTCAATCAACTAATAAAAAATAAATGATAATACTATATATATATATAATATATATGTTTATACGATGGTAACATGAAATAAATAATAATTATGAAACTAGTCCCATTAATTTTATATTTAACACGTTTGCTATGTATCATATATGCAATATTATAAGGTCTACAGCTTAAAAAATGTAGTAATTATCTTTCACTAGAAAAATCAAGCATATTTAGTGCTTACTTAAGTGGCAGACTATGCAGGTGGGATATTTTTATTAAAATTAATAAAGCAGTGGGTTAAGCACAGGGTACGTAAAGTATAAAAATACATATTTTCATCAACTTACTTTCTGCGAATCGATAGTTATCTGCAGCCATTATTTGCTAAACTAATAAGTAACAACTATGTATAATTATTTAAGGTTTTAATAATCTGTAAAACATTAAAACAATAAAGAAGATGTAGAAATAGAGATTTCTGTATTGTTTATATACTTTATATTTGTTATCACTGAAATTAAATTCAGCATCATAATATTTATGAGTGATAACACTGAAAACTGATAACTGATAAGTTCGATTTAGCAATTTAGATAAAATATTAAAATGGTAATTGGTATTTGTAACTTGATATAAAATAGTACGCATGTCACATAGACTACGGCTTTAATAGACATTAAACATTAAACAATTTAAATGGCTATAGATAATTGATAATTGTGACTTGAGAATCTCAAGTTGAGATTACAGTTTTAAGCTTGTCCGCTGATGTATGTTAGCTGTTGGGTATTAATGGTTACATAAAAGTATGTTACTTTGTTAGGGTGTATATAATTTTATTGTAGGTATCTAAGTTCTGTGTTCTTTAGTGTTCATATAGTCACAATATAGTTAAGGTAGGTAATAAACAAAATGACTGGTTTAAGATGAATTACCTATAGAATCATTTTATTTTTTTGTATTTAAGTAATATTTTTCGTGAGGATTTGAAACTTCTATGCATGTAATTATATTTTTTTTTACAAAATTATATTATATATAAATTTAGATTAGTTTTATAATATTGCCTATTTGCAATTATTAATAACTTACTTAAATAAATATAATAATTGGCTGTCATACCATTCCCGTCAAGAATCGTATTTCGTATTCTTTGATTTATCATTGAATTAAAATTGAATACATTCATTACAGTAAACTACTGAATGATAAGTTACATTCAACTACATTGTTGTGGAGATACCGTTTACAGTTGGTGTGAGACGTGAGTAACTCAACCTGTCGTACTAGGTAGGTATGTAGTTAAAAAGAATGGAACGAAATGTCGAAATAACTATCTACTTAATATTTACAAATTTGATTGATTTATTTATATTTTTAAAACAACACTATAGTGTTTTAAAGCTAAATAATATTTCAGAAACAGAAAATTAATATTATAAAAATCTTATACTTAACATAATTATAGTAAGTAATAATAGGTTTGTATGTATAAATAAAATATTGTTTTTTTTTTTAATTCAAAAACAAAATAATATTTGTTTATAAATCACAATACGCATTTCCAATTTTTGTTAATATACATTTACAAATACATGCCATTAATTAAAAAGTCTGCGTCATGAGCGTATGATTGTTTGCTTCCTTTTCGATGACGATTACGCACCACTCTTAATCGACAACCAATCACAATTATCATTATACTTGATGCAATAATACCTAAAAGAATTGATGAACGTTAGGAAAAAAATATATAAACTGATAGTCGATAGATAATAGTAATAATTAATAAAAAGGTAATATAAATTGTAGGTTTATCTTTGTATGATTTTTTTGTTATTAATCTATGATTTAAATAATTTATAATTTTAAAACTTTGGTAAATAAATACTTAATAATTAGTTAAGCTGTAATGAAATTGTCGGTTTTTAGTTTTTACAGCTTACTATGTTGAAATTATATAAATGTTTGTGTATAACCTTTAAGCTTTTTAATAATATATTATTATAGTTACCCAGAACAAGAGAAATGAAAGCTCCATTTGGCATTATCGCATATCCATCATCGCTACTTTCAAAATATACTTCATGGATATTAGAATCCTCTGTCGGAGGCTGAACTAGTTTTCGATGCAAATGAGAATCTAAAGTAATAAAATCATATAACTGAATTAAGACTGTACGCAGTTTGGATTAAGTATATTTTCATAATAAATATTTTGCAAATTATGTTAAATTAACCTGTTGTTGTTGATTGAGTAGAAGTTTCATTGACATTAAGTTTTTGAATTACTGGTTTTTCGGTTATTAATATTTCAGATTTTTTAACTTCTAATTGAATTGGCCTCTGATAATCAGAACCCTAAAATTATCAAAGTTATATTATTTTAATTTGTCAATTATAAAAAAAAGATAGTTACGGTTATATGAATATATTTAAACTCACTAGTTGAGGGATATTTGGCTGATCCACGCCTAACATAACCTTAGGTCTCAGTTCTTCGTAGAAATAATCTGGATTGTTTTGATTTTGATAGTTAGTTTTATCACCTACATTCAAAATATTATTTTTAATACCTACTGCAAACATCATCTTGATTTTTTTATATATTTAATAAATTACCTGTGTTAAAATGACGGAATTCATGATTCATCCCCGATTCAATTTTATACACTCTAATCGGCATACTAAAATAGAATTTATAGAAATTATTTAAAATCCTATTTTAAAATTATATAGCTACATTAAATTTTCATAAAATATTAGTATTAGTATTTTTGTACATGGTAACATTTTTTTTTTTTTTTAATTGTTATTATTGTTATTAATAAATCATTTTTTACTCGGTCAAAAAGCTTTAAAAATTAATAGAAGTTTCTTCATAAGTTTTTCATTTACCAATAAAAAATTTCAAAAATGCATAGTTGCAATATTTTTTTATAAATGTTAAAAGTTAAAATTTAGATGAAATTCGTTGAAATCAGGAAACTTGACAAATTAATAAGTAATTAGAATTCATAAAAATTTTCTTTTACTATCTAAGATTTTAAAATGTTGTTTAAAATTTCTCATAGGCTTTTTGCTTATAATATTATCTTCACACCTATTTTTTTCTTTAATTGGTTTTTTTTATTTTGTTTTAATTAAAAAAAAAAAAACTTCATAGATACTTCATTTTTTCATAAAATGATTTTTTAATATCATTTTCTACTCCAATAATTTTTTAAATATTTTAAAAAGAGTAAAAATATTTATTTTTATATTATAGAAAATTTTTATATTTTTTTTTACCTTTTTTTAATAATTGTCAGTAAATGGTTTATGACTCGATTGAACAGTTTAAAAAGTTATGAGTTTCACATAAGTTATAAATTTATACAATTATTAAAAATATAATGGTACAATTTTTTTATGTGCGCTTGAAGTTAACAAAATTCGTAAATTTGCAAATAATTTTATAATTACAAATTTATAAAAATATAAAATAAAAATTTTTATAGCTAAAGATAGACAATTGAATACAAGGTTTTTCTTAAGTAGAATATATATACTGTAATCAAAAATTTCAAATCATAAATAGCCATATATAGGTAAATATAATTTTTTTTTAATGGATATTTTAAATTCAAGATAGGACAAAATTGAATATTTAAACAAAAAATAATGATTTTAGTTCTTTTGTTGTAATTTAAAAATAATATTCATTAGAAGTTAAAATTTTTAACGATTATTATTATAGCTTTTACACCAATGACTTTTTAAAATGCATTTTTTTCAGCAAAAATTAATTTGTCCTATAGTATTCCTTGTAGTAAAATTAACTACTTTAATAATCTATAAACTAACAGATCGTCTCTACTTTGAATCGTTTTTCGTATACAACAATATATCATTGAATCCAAATTTAATACAATAATCCACTCGACATCTACTATACAATAGATTGGTACCCACGTGCCCACATTTTTTCTTTTTTTAATCTTACTTATTTTGTTGCCGATTATAGTCTGGTAAAATTCCTCCATTAACATGTGTGAATATTCGATTATTCCCTGTAAAATTAATTAAAATAAATATTTTATTAAATTAATTTATATATATATATATATATCAAACCATAATTTTGGTGAACTACATCTTGACCTGTCCATTTGAGCCCTTCACCTTCCCTTCCATATTGAGAAGACGCCAAATTACTGCCATAAGCAGGTTTATCTGCTTTTACATTATTATAGTTTATATTGGAACCTTAAAGAAAAATTATATAAATTTTGTTGGAGAATATGTTTTTATATTTCTAACTAACTAAATATCGGTTGTTGATTCTTCCATTGGTATTGTTGAATTGGTTGATTTACTTGCTGTCCTGTTATATCCATTGGTTTGTTCGGAATTGGTAATGTTTGTATGTAACTATTTCCTTGTGTTAATCCATAATTTACATCTTTTATAAGTACTTGTTTACCTGTTTTTGTATAAACATACAACTCTTATGTTTAATTTTAAATCCATAATACTTCTACAATTAACTATGGATTCAATAATTTTACTTGGAGTGGTCGGACAAGCTAGTTCAAGTGCTTCATCACTACCATCACTGCATTGAGGTATTCCATCACAAGCATTGTAGATCGCAATACATTCACTAGATGTTTTACATTCAAATTGATATCTACTACACCGGGGTGTTCCTTTAATATAATTAAAAAAATAATTTTAAGTTATCGATTCAAAGCATAATTTTTATTTGTTTTTAATCCTATTAAAAAATGAATGACGTATTTTACTTTCAGAATGTTTGTCTTGTGGAATAGTTATTTCTGTTTCTTTATTGATATTAGAGATTGGTATAGCAGTTGTCGAAGGTGTTGTAAATGAATTTATTTTCCTAAATAATGAAAAATAAAAATTATGTTAGATGTTTTTGAAATTAATATTTCTTATGTAATAGGTCAAAAACTCGTGTTATGTTTATGAATAAATATATACATGCGTACATTATTCTACTATAATTTATTGTCATTTGAAAATAAATTATTAACAACTTACAATAAGTACACCTATATATGATATAACCGACGTAGATATCGGAATAATATTATAATTTATATTATCAAATTCGTAACAAAATTGTACAACGGTATAATTTTATAGAAATCAAGTGTTTTATTAATATACACCGACAAATCAAATAATGAATATTATTATTCATTAATATAATTTCAAAGATTAATTTTCATTTTCACACCGTAATGATACAATTTATACATACCAACTTACTTATTGGTCAAAATCCATCAAAATGGAAAATAAAAGATGTATAAAAAAAAAATAAAAAAAAATATATAAAATGTTATTAATAGTCAATTAAAACTTTGGTTTATCATAATTTCTAATAAGAGACTATAAACATACGAATTGGTATCTTATAACTTCCTTTTTATATTTACTTACTTAAGTTGAATGAGTTCATGTTCATGTTCAATTTGCGTAAGCTTAATCTGATTTTCCAATTCTGCTGCATGTCTGGACAACATTAATGCACTGCTATAGTTTTTATGATTGGTAAATTTGCATTTAAAATCATCTGATGGTCCACATTCAAACAGGTAACATGTCCCAGGTGACTAAACAAAATCGAAATTCAAATCATAAATTTAACTATAAAATGTTGTTTAATCTTTAAGGTAAAATAAAATGAGCATTTTAGCTTTTTTGATAAAAGGAGTGCTCCCTTCTTCAAATGTACATATTAATATCTATTTGTATATGATCATTGATCATTTAGTACATTTTGTATAATATATTAAAATAAGATATAATCACTTTTGTACATAGAACATAGATATTATCTAATAGTAAGCATAGAGTTAATTTTTCGGAATTGAAAAGTAAAAACGATTAATTATAAATTAACGTTTTATTAAAATTGTTCAAGAATTAAGAGTATGGTGGTAGTTAGTACATACAAATATACAATGAGTAATAACGAGTATATTGTTATGTGATAATATTACATATTAATTAATTCATACTAAGAATATTATTTATCTTTGGCAGTTTTAGTATATTATCATCTATAAACACTTAACTTGCAATTAATTAATGGCATTTATTTACTAAACATACTGTACAAATTAAAAATAAATATCATCTTCTCAATATTTAAACTTTGTTAACAACAAATTTGGATATTTACATACGTATAAACCACATTAGCCAATAAGCACTTGCTTACGGTGGAAAATTTATATCTATAATCTGTTTATGTATACCACCTACTTGTAGATTGAAAAAATAATTTACAATTTATTTCAAAATTAGGTATACCGTATACATTAGATGTTATATCGTATTTTGATCGTAACTGACAGTTCCGAGATAATATAAATCCCTTCCAATCTCCAAAAATAAATTTAAATTTAATTTAAAAATAATGACAAAATAATTTGACTAGTATAGGTATTACATTTTTATTCGGTGTAAAAATTCAACTGGTGTTTAATTTTTTTAAATAAAAGTCTGATTTTGATAAATTTTTATATCTATAAGGAATAATACTACAGGCAACTTCAATAAACCTTGCAAAGCTACTGGGTACTCGATACTCGTTGCATAAATCCGAGACAGTCCCTTTTTGCAACGGGGGACGTCTAGTGGCCAGTGGGTCACATTAGCATGATAGTGGTAAACTGTGTTAACCCATAAACTGTGGCTGCAATTCGTGACGTGATAATATGTATATATAATATAAACTAGGTATCACATATTCTAACTCATAATATTATTCGTTAACAAATGATGAATAATTTTATTGTTTTACTTTTTCTTCGAACACGAATACGTCACATCGGGACGTCTGACAGCACAGTTCTAGGCATCCGGCACGGTCGTGCTGTTCCACCGAGTCTATGAACTTTGCGCCCAGCTTTTTTGAGTCTTCCGTCCGGATAATCTTATCGTCGTGCACTTCGAACCTGTTCGCGCATCCGAACGGGTCGACGGTTACGGCCATCCCTGCGCATACCAGCGCACAGATAAACAGAAACCCGACAGGTATCATCCTATCTCGATTAAACAAAATTCGGCGTATGTCGCACCGTAGATTGTTGTGTAATATTGTTATAATATATATTATGTTGTGTGCACGCACGACGTGCGTGAGCGTGGGTGGTGCGCCGCGAATAACACTGCCGTCGCCGTCACTACGTCTTCGCACTGCTTCTGTTGCCGATAGGTGGCGGACGACTCGATCGATATACACGCCATTATGTACTCGACCTAATACCTATATACTGGCTGTACTTACAAAAATAATATATATATTTATATATGCAACGAATAACGGCACAATTATAAGTATTAGAAATACGAGATAATTATATTGTTTTCATCCCATTTTTATGCATGCAGTTGTTTAAATTTTGATTATTTTTATTTTTTTTTTTGGAAATTTTTGAAAACTAGAAATTGAATAAATAATGTATAATTCATAAACATATCAATGGGGGTGAACGGGGTTAAACAATCGACCAAAATTTACACACATAGCCTAATAATAATAGTTGCAGAAACAGAATATACAATCAAATTTTTTGTATATCGCAATAATAAAAATAAAATAAGTTAGTACCAACAAAATTACCGACTGGCATAAGTATTAAGTTTTATTGCAATAGATAATATAGTGAGTAATTGGTTTTTATTATAACTATGTAGGTATGAAGAATACATAATTATTTAAATATTTAAAAATTGAACTTTTCAAGTGTATGCATGTATAATCTATCCTATTATTTATTAAATAATTTTAACAAAAAAAATAAATTCCGATGTTTTCTTTAAATTCTTAAAGTAGAAACGTATAAGAATTACAAAATATCATTATGTTTAATGAGTGCATTATGTCTATACTCTATAGTGCAGTACTGCAAAAGCTAAACGTTTGCAGAATTCTACATTTGCTACCCATCCAAAAGCATTAAAGCATCTAAAAGTATACCGATATTACAAAAACAACGTTTATATTGGTAGGTAACTTAAAAACATCATTTAAATAAAATGTAAATAAAAGTTATTTATTATTTACGATATATTATAAATATGAATTTACTAAACACTATATATACATATAATTTGTTCTTGCAAATATGATTTACAGTATACAAAACAAGATACACCTATATTGACTTTTTGTAAATTTAGGTACGCTCAAACAAAATACACCGAGTGATTGTATCGTATTTTATATTTGTTATTTTTTTCCTTGATGAAGTAAGGCAATACATCTTATATATTAGATATGGATAGTTTATAGTTTTATATAGATTTTTATTAGTATAATATTGTTATTATTATTGTTGATGCTATTTAATCGATATAAGAATAATTTATAAACAGAAACTTTTTATACAATTTTTCAGTGACTCATAACAGGTAAAAATGTAAATTTTATTAAGATAATACTATTAGAAATATTTTATAAATATTTAAGAGTCTCTACGGTTATATTCATTGTTAAATGAAATAAAACGAAATTGTTTTAGTTTTAATCGATAATACCTAATAATACCTTGATATATTAACTCTTAAATTATTTAAATCCTATTAATATATATTATAAGTATACATATTATTTATATATTTATTATATTATTGCTTAGGTGGAATGCTGGAAACTCCAAAAATGGTTAGGCAATAATATAGTGATTAATTATTATTAAACTTATAATAGTATTAAAATTAATTTATTTTTAAAAATTTAAAAATCACGTTGCTTATATTATATTTATTATTTATTACAAATTAAAAATATTGTAAATAATTAAATAAACTTACTACTTAGAATATCTAGTGTAAAACTAGATTACATATTAAAAAAAAAAAAACATCTTTTTTTTATATTATCACAAAATTGTTATAGAAAAATATTAAAAAAAAACTATTTTTATCATTTTAATAATTACTGACGAGGAACAGTTATTAGATTCACGACAAGTACCTATGTGTCATTTGGCAAATAACAATTTTTGTGTCACCAATTGTACAAAGTACAATACTACAAGAAATTTCAAAGCATTTGTAAATTCAATTTGCAATTTACTTAAGCATACTTTTTTTTAATACTATATATTCACTGTTATTACGTAAAATCAAATTACTTAAACGATAAATTAATACTGAATGACGTTTTATAAAGATTTAAATAAAAAACATATATTTCTATATAATTATTACGTTTTGTTTACGTGCATAATTTATTAATGTAAACGTTTATTATAAAATCTATAATGTCTAAAATTATATGCATAAACTATAAGTAATAGGTACCTACAAAATAATTATAAACTTATAAGATAGTTCAGTTGGCTTTGACTTATAATCTAAAATATTAAAATACAATTATTGATTTGGCTTTGTTTTGATTAATAAAATAATATTATTGTCAATTATTATACACCACAGCGATGACACGGCATATTGTGTAGGCAATTTAACTACAACTTTATTGTCAATTTATTTTTACAGAATCACTGTGAGTTCTTAAAATAAGTAATAACCAAACAATTTCACCAAAATCCAACAGCATTGGGAATATTTTTAATACTTACTAATTAGAACTTATTTTCCACATTATGCCCATTTTGTCATGTTGAATTCTCCTTTTCTCAGTTTGGGTATTCAATTATTATGTAAGTTTGTGGTTTCTGATATACAGACTTACTCGTTGGACAGTCCATGAAAAAATAGTATTACATTTTATATTAGATTATTATTAGTTTTTCTGATAGAGTTATTAGGCATTTAATAGCTTGGAAGTAATTCGATACTTTTGTAATATTTAGTAAGAGTACCTACAAAAATGATGAATTTTTATTTTCGATAAATTACCATAATATTCATATTATGATTTACGATACGATTTGTCAACCCAATTTTGGCGGTATATATTTGTTATATCATCCAAAAATGCATGTTTATGTATTGTAAGATGTGTGATAATTTTTATTTCTTCATTTTGTAAAGTATAACCTTTCTTTACTACATCATTTATTCGTCCGTTTAGTTTTTCCTGACGCATAGAATTCCACACATAATTTTGTAGTGCAATTAACCTTATTTACCACATATAGGTGTGAGGTATATAAACACAATTGTACCTACTGTTCATCACTTCTATTAATAACACAATCGATTAATTTCTTTACGAGTGAAATTTTATAAAAAAATTCTTATTCTAATGGTTATATATTTTACATATTTTTTTTTTAGTAAAAAATATATAAAATGTTTAAATCTTATAGCTACGGTTTGAAAATTAGTATAATATTCCTCTTAAATAATACCTATATAAGTACTAAAAAAAATATAAATAGACAATTATTTTCTTGGACATTTTAATTTTATATTTTAACGGAATTTCTTATTTAAACAATGAATAACGATGTTAATTATAAATCAAAAATATAATTTATGTCTTAAATCTTTCACATTACATTACATTATTATAAATTTTACAATACGTAATGACATTTTAAATTTATTTTAACATATTTTTTATTTAAATTAAGTAAAACTATTTTTTTCTGTACATGATATTTACAGAAACATAATATTAAATTTTGAGTTGTATAAATTAATAAAATATGGTATAAAAATGTAATATAATAGTATAATACTTAAATATGAATGATATAATAAATGCAATATTTTCGTAAAAAATTATATCAACCTACTGCATAATACTACGAATAGTAAAATAAATTACTTAAATAGCTTTACAAAAAAAATATATCATAACATAAACTTAGTGATATAGGCTGAAATTCGACAGTCTTCGTTCAGAATTTTCCGTATTCAGTAATATATTATTGAATTATTTGAATTCAAATTTAACACTCTCACAATAGTGATCCACTTACTCGATAATATACAGCAGATTGGTATACCTACATTCCCACCTTTTTTTAATACAATTTTTGTTTTGCCTCACCATTTTTTTTTTTTTTTGTAATACATTCCACTAACTGTTTTTTAAAACATTTCGATTTACTCAGATGTGAGGTGTTATGTACTCGTGTTGAGTGTTATGTTTCCGATTTGCGTATCCATAAACACTAAACATGCAACTGCACTATTTGTTATACTCCATTTTGTTATAGAGCTGTATGAAGTTTATTATTTATCAGTTATTGCGGTAATCCGTCTAGACAGCCAATTTTAGTGAGCGTCTGCAAATATGCAGATATGTGATAAATGATAATACTGTTAAAAGTATCAATTTATAATCGTTTATAAATGAAAAATAGTCAGGCCCGAACTGGGAGGATACCGGCATACTATCGCAGTAGGCGGTGGCCATGCATAGATACAATAATATAAAAAAGACCTTTTTTTTGCTCATTAATTGTTTAAAAAATGTCAAGTATTTTATGACAAATTTGAGGCGTGCAGCCTACTATGCTGTAGAATAGTAGCACAGTGGCCCAGTCAAGGCCTGAGAATAGTATAATATATTAATATAATATTATATACCTAGGTTCGACTGCTTCACAAACTACAACTAAGTTGTCATGTCATGTCGTGTCGTGTGTTTGTTTCTTAGCAAGTTATGATTAGTGAACTATTCCATGATCACAAGAATTTATGACAGTAAATCAGTATTCAGTTAAAGGCACACGACACGACAGATGACAGCTGTGAACCAGGGTTAATACAAAAAACTATACTATGTTATAGTTATAAGATCATAATCACAGTACCTAGGTACTGGTAGACTTTGTTAATTGAGTATATTTTTCCCCTAGATCAACCTGCTCCGATAGAAAATCATAAAGACAAGGTCTAACAGATCACGTAGGTCATAACACGAGTATGTTGCTCCCTACAACTCGGTGCCAAAAACTCAAGGTCCTATATGGATCTTTTGTAACATTGCCACATTGCCAATTAAAGTACCATTACTTGCTCTGGTGTCTGAGTCTCCGAAGATCCTGTCGTTGGATGAGTATACGATGTTAAATTTTACACGTATTACGTAGGTACCTACTAATTAAACTTAACAAATTTCAATAAAATATATTTTTTTTTTAATTTGACTAGAGTCGTGCCGAGCGTAGTAAAATTAATTTTAACCCATGATTAATTTCAAACTTCGATTTTACACGATTCTCTGTAACTATTAAACTAGTGA